ATAGTCATACATAGTCAATGTCGAGATAATCAATCAAACGGTTTTTTAACATTAAAAGGACTTTTTCCGGATGGATTTTTCAGGGACATCCGTAGTTCTACATTATAATGTTGCATCCTTATAAAAACTTTTTCCTTTACTATGGGTGCGATGGCATACAGATGCAGCAGTAGGTGTAGAGGTAACGTGCACCTTTAAATTTTATCATGGTATATAATTTTGACATAAAATGATTTTAGGATTATCTCATAATCTATTTTTATATCTAATTATAAAATTTTAAATTTAAAAAATGGTTAAAATCAAGTAGATCTAAAGACCTATGAAAATCTTGAAAATTGACTGTGTAGATAATATGTTGTAAAATGCACTATTTTATATATTTAAAATCTTTTTATCTTTCATAGTCATATATATCGATGTCGAGATGATCAATCAAAGGGTTTTTAACATTAAAACTACCTTTTTCGATGAATGACTATGAAAAATGGGGAGGCTTAGTGCATCTTTTAGGCGTGCTAGTTAATAAGATCGGTTCGGCTAATAATGGCTCGACTCAGCCATATCGGTTAATATAGGCTCGGTTCGGCTCACATCGGCTCAGTTCAAATGAAATTATGAAAGATATAAAATTAACTTAAGTTTAGCTATTTTAGCTGAGCTGAGCCGAACCTATAGATCGAGTCGAGACGAGCCGTTAGTTCGGTATAATCTGAGCCGAGCCGATATAAGCCGAGCCGAACTTCAGCGAGGGCCAACAGAATTTCCACAAAAACTGAGAACTTGTAATTTTATAAAAAAACACGAACTCTTTCTATTTAGATTAGATGTAAAGAGCACAGATAAAAATTTGGGGCCTGGCACGAGTGGTTCGTAAGGCTTCTGCCCCAAAACAAAAGGTTACGTCCCGAAACTTAATGGAGCTGAAGCCTGAATTTTAGGATGGAGCTGGAATACAGAGACAGGCACATTCTTGCCCCCATGGTTCGAGTTGTAAGGAAGCATCTCTCTCTCCTGCTGTTTTTTCTAATGTTTCTCTCTTCAATTGTTTCTCAATCTTCTCAGTTCACTTCATCTCATCATCCATACGCTCACCTCCCCTTCCTCCTCGCGCTCTTCTTCTTCTCCCCCCTTCTCTCTCTCGTCCCTGATACTGCACTCATATTGCAAGAATAGCATACATTTAGTTTACCAAGTGATTTTTTTTTTGCAACTAGCTCTTGGTCAAGTTTGTAGCCATGATTGACATTTTGTTTATAAACTTGGAACTAAAATGCTCAATATTCATGCCCTAAAATTTATTATGTTGGTTTATTGTATGGGGCACATGTAATTATTCGTAAGTTTCTTTTGGAGGTTGTCTCTTATTACGAAATTGGCCCATTAAACAAGTGCAAAGGTAGGTGGTAGTCCCCCCTTGCGTAAGACATTGAATCCTTTCTGAAACAATCAATGCGTATCCACTCTTTATCTTAGTTAAATTTTACATAGTGTTTACAATGAATTGGAGGTTTAGGTCCAGGTCGAATTATACTTTTTGCTCATAAATATTCTGTTTTTTTTTTTGAGGATTTCTCTATTGGTCTCTTATGGAGAATAGGTCCTCCTAATTTGGAGCTTTTTAATAGTGAAAATAAATCTCTAGATACTGGTCAATCTCTAATTAAAGGTAAACCATTTGTTTAAGCAGTACAGTCTTTATGCACTAAACCTCCCCATTTTGTACCAAACATGGTACTTTGTGGAGAGAATAGTAGTTTCCATAAGTATTGGGAGAACCCAACTGACGCCACAGCCCCTTCAGGAGACAATTATATCAATTGTTCTCATATGTATCTCCATGAGGCACCCCATAAAGGGGAGTCCAACGGCCCCAAAAAGCCCTCTGAACTCTGAAGGTACTTTTTACATCTCTCTTGCATATATATGGGCAGGGCACTGTAGATACATTATCAACAATGACCTTGATAAAATTGGTGATTGTAGATTTGTTATATGAAGCATGTCATCCCATGATATAGTGCATCAAACTGATAACTGAAAATGATCGCTCTCCTTCTCAAAACAAGGTAGCAAACGAGATATGTATGAGTTGATACACTGATATATAAAAATGAGATCCAAATACTTTATATGCACAAAATAAAACAATGCATTAAAACCTGAATTGGCATTAAGACGAACAGTATGTAACTAATATGAAAGACATGCATTAGGAAACAAAATTCATTTAACATTGTTCGCACGCCTCTTCATGCTCAATAACTGGATGCACACAAATATGCTTTCTTTCTGTGAGTTTGTTTACCTTATGCCTCTGCTTATTATTAACCCTAACTTGGTCATGCAGGGCACCCTTCCATTTAGGATGTTAGCTTCTGAATATGGTGCAGATATAACTTATGGCGAGGAGATTGTTGATCACAAAATAATAAAATGCCAACGACAAATAAATGGTTAGTTTCTCCATACTTACAAAGTGGTCTTTGCACCTATCCATATGAGAGATACTTACAAAGTGGTCTTTGCACCTATTCATATGAGAGATACTTACAAAGTGATCTTTGCACCGATCCGTATGAGAGTGTTGGGTGAGTGTGGCCATTAAAGGCCTTATGAGTGCTTGTAAATGAATTTATATAGTGGAACATGAACTCAGTGGGAGTGTGGTCCCGTGTGGACCATACTAAGAAAATGATGTTTGTTGATACCGGATTGAGCTTTACGAGTTGGGCCAGTATGGTTGGGAAAAACCCATATTACCTGGGTATAGAAAATGAACCGATAAGGGTTATGATGGCTCATCCCTTAATTATTCAGATATGATTTTATGAATTTCTAAAAATCATATTATTAATTTTAATATTTTATATTGTATGGGAGGCCCAATAAACTATATGGGCCCACCATGACAATTGAGTGGGGCCCATTGTGTGCCACCTAGGGTGGCACGCCCCACCTTGACGAGTTTCTAATCTTGTAGAGCACAAGCTCTTAGGTTGAGGAAAAAGAAAGTGGTGTTTTGGAAAGCTTGTGCCTTGAGGAAGTTTTGAAACGAATTTTGGTATGTATGAGACGGCTTATGCATAAAATAAGAAAGGATAATATTATCATATATTAATTTCTTATTTGAATTAATTGATGGGAAAATGGTTTAGGAAATGGGGGATAATGGTTCTAGCACCTTCCATATGATCTTGATGGCCTATCTATGGAATGGGCGGCTCATATCTTTCACCCCACAAGTCACTCAAGATCAATGGTGCATATTCAATCTCACATGAAGAGGCAAGCTATGAAAAACCCTAAGAAACCCCTTGATGCATTATAAAAAGGGATGCACCCTACCCATATTCTCTACACCAAGACTTTCTATCTCTCTCTTATAACTTGCATAGGCGGCACGCCCCACTCATAAGTTCTCTCTCTCTATCTTGGAAACTTTCTCTCTCCCTCATGCAAACCTAAGGGGCATGCCCCTCTCATAGCTTCTTGAGATCTTTCTCTCCCATCTCTCAACTTGGGTTTTTTGGCTAAGGGCTTAGGGTATGGTAGACGATATGCTATCTCGTAACTAGATTATGAAAGGGGGTTCACCTATGTTTGAGTTTTTGTGATTGAAAGGGGTTCATGTTCCATTGGTTTGGCTTGGCCTAAACTTGCTTTCCCGATTGAGATTGAAGGTTGACCATTGATCTCGCGCCATAGGAAGGAAGTGACTCAGTGTGGGGTGTAAGAAGCCCGGTTGAGGTAATTTTGGGCACCCTCTTTTGTTTCTTGCATATTTACTTATTGTCTTTTATTCCTAAACATAGGCAGTGTCTTTTCTTTGTTATTAGAAAAAAGATTTTAAATGGCTTCAAGTTCTTGGGATCTTAATTGTATTGTTTTCTTTATTTTATTTGAAGTTGTTTTATTGTAAAAAGACTACTTGTAAGTGATCTAAGCCGCGTAAAACAAAAAAAAAAAGAAAAAGAATTGAAAAAAAAGAAAAACTATATATATACACTCCAGCTAGATCTGACAAGTCCTTCTTTCAAAGACGTCTGATGAAAAACTATCACGTTTTATATACAAGATCTATTTCTTCAATAATAAAAAAATATTCCTAGCAATTTCTTTGCCTGCAAGAGTTTCGTTCTTCTCTCCATCCAGCAATGGGACCAATTGGAGGAACTCAGACCCCTCTCGTCAAAGGAGAGGTCTCTACAGTTCCAACTTAAATTAGAGTACCACTCTCTCCTTAAGAAATAGGAAATCAACTAGTATGAGTGGTCCAGGGTCAAGTGGCTGAAGTATGAAGACCATAACACTTTGTTCTTTCACAGAATTCCTAACTGTTGAAGGCCGGATAACACTGTCACCCACATCAATGTGGCGGAATCAAACTTTGAGCACCCAACAGAGGTTAAAAGGGTCTTCCTCAACTTCTTCCAAAAGTTGTTCAGTACTCCCTCCGGCCCGAAGCCCACCATGGAAGACCTATCATTCCTGACCCTCCTTCCTGAGAAGGCCGCTTGGCTGGAGGGCCTCTTTCCCGAAGAAGAAATCCTTAGAGCCATCCACAATCTTGGCCAAGACAGGGCTTCATACCCAGACGGCTTCCCTATTGCTAATTTCAGCACCTTTTGAAGCTCCTTTCGCCATTGCATCCTCTCTTTATTTGAGGAGTTCTTCAATAGCGGCATAAGGCATAAGGGACTCAACGCATGCAACCGTCATTACTCTGGTTCCTAAGGTAGAAGGACCCCAAGAACTTAAGGATTTCGGCCCAATTAGCCTCATTAACAATTCTTATAAGATTCTATCCAAGGTGATTGCATCCCGCCGCCTCAGAGAGGTTATCGGCCTCGTCATTTCTCTTCAGTAAGGGGTATTTGTAATGGATCGTTAAATTCTCGAGTGGGAGGTTACCGGTCTAATCATTAAACTTGACTGGGAGAAGGCCTATGATCATGTCAACTGGGACATGCTCAACGAAACTCTTAACTGTATGGGCTTTGGTCGTAGGTGGAGAAGTTGGGTTAAGATTTGTATATCCAACCTCTTCTTCTCTGTCCTCATCAATGGAGCCCCGAGAAGTTTCTTTCCCTCTTCTAGGGACATTAGACAAGGGGACCCTCTCACCTCTTTTCTCCTCGCCATCATGGCTGCAGTTTTCAGTCACTCCAGCGCTCATCTTTTCCACTCTGGCCTCCTGCAAGGCTTCTCTTGCAGACCTCATGGTCCTACCATTATGCATTTACAGTATGTGGACGATACCCTGATATTCTGCAATGTCTCTTCCCAAGAAACAGACTCCCTCCTCCTATTCCTCAAGTGTTTCTAGTCGGTTACCAGTTTCAAGGTCAACATGAACAAATCGAAGATGATTGGGGCGGCTCTCAACCCCTAATCGAGCCTGACTTTTGCTGAGAGTTGGAGCTGTAGCACGGAAAACCTCTCCTCCTCCTGCTGTGGCCTTCCTTTGTGTATCAGCAATCCCAAACTCAGTTCTTGGGCACATATAATTGACAAGTTTGAGCGTAGACTAGCCGCTTGGAAAGGTTGCTACCTCTCCTTGGATGGGAGATCTACCCTCATCAAAGCCACCTTATCCAACATTCCAATATGTCAAATGTCCCTCTTCAAAATGCCGGCAGTCCTATCCCACTTGAATCATCTTATGAAGAACTTCCTATGGGAAGCGGACGGGGAGAGGCGCATAGATAGGGTCTGCTCGCCTCGCCATATCCTCAAGATCGAAGTGAATAACACAGCCCTTTTGGGCAAGTGGTGGTGGCGTTATGCTACCCAAAACAGCCACCTTTGGCAACAGGTCCTGCAACATAAGTACCACTTCCATCCCTCTGCATGGCTACCTACCCATAGAGCAACAGTAGAGCCTGTGGGGACCCTATTCAGCACCCTAAACCTTTTTAAAACAGAACACTCGTCTCCTAGCCTGGGCAGGCACCCGAGTTAAGTTTTGGTCACATAGGTCAGACCCCCCTCAAAGTCTTATTCCCCTCTTTATTACATCTCCTAACCCTAATCGACCGAACACAGTTGCTGACCTCTTCGGTACCATGGGCTCAAGCAGAATCTGGTGCCCTGTCTTTAGGTGGTCACCTTCATACAGTGAGTTCCAAGAATTTCAACCTCTCCGACCTCCTTCGAACCACCTTTCTCCACCCAGGGTGAGGATGAGCTCATCTGGTGTCCATCTCCCTCTGGGCTTTTTGCGATTTCCTCATTCTACCACAAATTACTCCAACCCCCTACCTCCCCTTTGGCTCCTACTTCAGTTACTGCTAAGGCTTGGTTCTCTCTTGTTCCTCCCAAGATCCAAGTATTCAACTGGATCGTACTTCACCAACGGGTCCTCGCAATTGACCAGCTACATAGGAGAGGCTTACCCATTCCTAACCGCTTTATCATGTGTATGGACGCTGAGGAAAGCAATGATCATCCTTTCATCCATAGCCCTGTTGCATTTCTCCTTTGGGGGTTATCTACTCTGCCTGTTCAAATGGCAATGGGTAACCCCACAAACCATCCATCTCCCCTTCTCTTCCCTTCACCCTTACCCCGTGGCCCAAACCGGCATCCTCTTCTGGAAGGGGTCCATTTTTGCACTCCCATGGACAGTGTGCAACGAGCATAACCACAGAATTTTCTGTGGATAGTACACCTCCACTGCTGCTTTGTTTGACAAGATCAAAACATCGGTAATCTTTTGGGCTTCCAACCATAAGCTTTTTCAAAGGTATCCGTTTCTCGGCCTTTCACTGTGACTGGTTGCCCCTACTTTACCTTAGCCACCCTTGCGTCCCTCACGCCTCTTTATGGAGACCTCCTGACCGTGATTCCATTAAGCTTAACTTTGTTGGTTGATCCCTAGGCAACCCTGGACCTGCTGGAATTGGTGGTCTTTTCAGGAACCAGGAAGGCACATTCCTCACATCCTATTCGAAACATATTGATTACCTTGATTCCCACTCGGCGGTGGCCTTAGCCCTTCCTCGAAGGCCTTAGACTTTTTGACCGCAATTGGTCCTCAGCCTTGGTGATTGAATGCGACCCAAAAAATGTAATTCACTGGGCCTCTGGCACTGCCATCTACCCCTGGTCTCTAGCGCATGTTTTCTAAGAAATTTCTCATCTCTGCAGGAGTCTCATGGTGTCTTGGAGACATATATGGCGTGAATTCATGCTGACTTTCTTGCAAAAGAAGGTGCTACATTACTAGTAACTAAGTTTTTGTAGTCTCAGTCCAATCCCTGCTTTAGAGGATTTCTCCCTCTCTCTTCCTATTCTACCCCCTCAGGGCTTTATGTACAGTGTTCCCCTAAGGGGAGCCTATTGTTTGGTGTATAACCAACCTTTCGGGCTGCATTTTTGTACTATTCTCTTTTTCTTCAATACAAAGTTAACATTCTCAACAAAAAAAAAAGAAGTCTTACAATACATTATTATTCCATTACCATTTTATTTGCTGACAAGTATCCATTCAGTCTAACTGGGAAGACAGACTCTGGTCCGAAACATAAACTGTTAGGATGGTGGGATCTAAAAAATGTTAATTTGGTCATTCTAGTATCATGTTATTTTCTAGAGTAGATAGTTCACATGATTTTTGCTTTTACTGTCAGAATCTCTTGGGACCATTGATTTTGTGGAGAAAGGAACAGGCAGTGTGGTTTTCCGAACTTGTGACGCAGAAAGATGTCGTGTAGTATTCCAAATTGGCACATCAGATGCTGTGCGGGCATTAACTGCTGCTCAACTTTTGTAAGTTAGTTGGAATGAACTTTTCTCTCGTGTAGGATTTTTCGTTTACTTTCAAGTTCCTGGATGAGTTACATACGTTGTTATCGGATGCTTATGTTGACTTCCAATGCTAGAATTAAGTTGAGGTCATCATTGAAGTTAAGCATTTATAAAGCTTTTGAAGCAAGTACCCCATTTAAGTTAGTTGGAATGAAATTTCACTATCTCCTGATTGTTTGCTAAGGTCATTTTGTGTCTTCAGGTGCAAAGATGTAGCCGCAATAGATATTAACATGGGTTGCCCCAAGTCATTCTCTGTTTCTGGAGGAATGGGTGCTGCGCTACTGACTAAACCAGATCTAATTAATGATGTACAATTTTTATATTCTGAAGTCCTTGCAATGTATTCTTTTTCTTGGCTGTGCTAGCTTGGTTTCCTTGCATGGGGGACAAACTTCAAGGTTTAAGTTCATGCAAGGGAATTTCGTCACACCGATGGACCAGAATCCTCGGAGCCTTGTGACATTGATCTAGTTCACCTGTTTGACCTCTTTTGATTTAAGAAAACATGATGTCTCTTTATGTGGTTGTTCTTCTGCAGATTCTTACGACTCTAAAGAGGAACTTGGACATTCCGGTGACCTGTAAGATCCGACTTTTGCCATCATCTCACAATACTGTTGAGCTAGCCAAGAGAATTGAGAAAACAGGTGTTTCTGCCCTTGCTGTTCATGGAAGGTATTCTCCCCATTTTAGTTCATTTAACTGGGGCAGATGCTCTTATTCAATGTAGACCCCTAGGAATTTTTTGTGAATTTTTTTATTATTTTTCATTGGGATCTATTAAAATTTAATAGTTTTCGTTTAAATTTTTAGTTGATGATAAACAGTATTTCCATCTATAAATTTTAATTGTAAATGTATAGGTCGATGCACCCTCCAGCTTCTTTAATGTTTATGTGTTTTTTATCTACTTAAAAAATCTCTTTATTTCTTAGATTTTCTATACTAATTAAGTGTTTAAGTTGGTATGACGAGGAAGAGAGCTTGACTCATTGTGCACCTCTTTCGACCTTTCTACATGGACCACCTTGTTACCTACCTTGGGCCGCCCACATCAGATTCATTGCCAGCAGATTATCACTAATCGCTCCAGGGCTTATATTTCAGAAGAAACCACATATCAAACACTAATCACTGCAGGGCTTATATTTAAGAAGATTACCTACCTTTGCTTTCATTCCTTAAGGTGATTCTGCTTATCCCAGAAGCCAGCCGCATCAACAAACTTCATTTGCACCCTCCCACACACACTCGCCTTTGATCCCGAAGCTCATGCCTATTGTCCGCCTTCTCTCCCTTTGCTGGAAATGTCTGTACCTTGCCACTCTCGCTGTGCTTTTCTGTTGCTCTACACAGAGCCATGTAAGTGGTCGTTCCTCTACACAGAGCCATGTAAATTACCCCTATCAGGATACAATCCTTGCCTTCTGCTACTGCGAATGATGTTTTTTATCCCGGCTAGCAAGAACTCCGGAGACTTTGGTATCCTTCTCCAAGTTAACCATTCTCAGGCACACTTCCTTCTCCATTTGCATTAACTCAAGCCCTTGAAAGTTGAAATGTAACAAGTCTGTTGAGTCACATACCTCGGGTAAAAACAGGCTCTAAAGTATGTTGACTTAGTACTAAATCTGTTGAGTCACATGCCTCAAGTACGCGTCTTGTTTTCCTTGCGGCTCCCTCCCCAAGAATGCTTTTGTTTTTCTTTTTTGTTTTTACTGATGACACATAGAAGCTGTTTTTTTTTAAACTTGAAACTCATTGGGAGATGCTGTAAGAGCATAAATAGGCACACATTTTTTCATTATTTCAATAATTGATATGGTTGTGGAAATTTGCAGAAAAGTTGCAGATAGGCCAAGGGATCCTGCGCAGTGGGATAAAATTGCTGATGTTGTAGCTGCATTATCGATCCCCGTCATAGCAAATGGTGATGTCTTTGATTATGAGGACTTTCAACGCATAAAAAGTGTGACAGGTTTCATATTCTTGCTGTTTTTCATGTATGCTTATAAGGCAGCTTACACTATTTGTTTCTTTTTCACTTACTGCTTACTAGATTTCTAGGAGTTGGATCCTAGTGGTAAGTAGTCTTGATGGCCAAGACATATGTCTAAAGTCCCTTCATGCTGGGCTTTCTAAATAGATCCATGTAGCTTTTTTTCTTTTCTTTTTTCTGAAAAACACAAAACCGTATATTTTTGGATCTATACATGGAGGGGTCGTTTTAAAACTGGGATATCAACACATAGGCAGCTTCTGCAGAATCATAGGCAGCTTCTGCAGAATGAAAATTTTGTGCACCTTGCTGATTCACTTAATGCCTGCTACTTGAGAAATGTGAGGTCATTTTTCATATGCTTTTACAAGAATCTGAATTATGCTAATACCTTGCACGTCTGAATTTTATTCTAGGTGCATCTTCTGTCATGGTAGCGAGAGGAGCGGTATGGAATGCTTCAATATTTAAACCTGAAGGAAAGTTGCCGTGGGAGAGTGTTAAAAGGGAATACATTAGAAAGGTAAGGCATGTTATATTTGTCATCACTGCATTAATTCCTATTTTTGCCAATATGTATGGTAAGATTCATATCTTATGTGAATTTGATGTAGGATAAATTTAATGTTTTAATTCAACACCCATTTGTCAGTTGCAAGTTTAATCTGGAGACATAAACTCCAGGACACTGGTTTTTTCTTCAATATTAAGTTCTTTGAGATTTGACCATCCTATAAGTGGTTTCTCACCCCACTTAACATCTCTCCATATATTCTAAAGTATTTTGGTAGTTTTGGTTTTTTGTTTTTTTTGTTTTCGTTTATTTATTCTCTTTCTTATTTGGTTCTGATTCGAGCTTTCAGAGCATCTTATGGGATAATGATGTCAAAAGCACAAAGCACACTTTGAAGGAGATGATAATGCATCATTCCTCTCTAGAGCTTGCAGAGGGAAAGGCAATGATTAGATCTGCCACGTTAGCGAATCTGGCGTAAGTTTTTATCTTCTTACCATCCATTCTCAAGCTAGCTTTTGTCGTATTTTATTATCATCTTGATCTGAGAATATGAAGGCAAGTTAGCATGGGGCCAACCCAAGTGGCTTCCTGTACAAGGTTGTATTTTAGATATATTGCCTGCTGGTTTTCAAAAGTTGCGAATTCATATTTTGATTGAATCTGATTGAAAGCATCAATCAATAAAATGAAAGTCTACTTGATGTAAAATCTTGTAATTATTCACCTCATGGATCTTATTCTTGCAAATTCTGAGGCCAATTTCTTCAATTATGCTCAGAGAGCTTTATGGTGAAGAGAGCTACTATTGGTTTGTTAATGGAATCAATGGTTGCTGAATTTAACATTCTGGAATGAACATCACAAACCTTCTCAGTATCGAGAGTCCGCAACCAGAATCCAGAAACAAGTGGGTTCAGCTGCCAAAAGATGGTGGGTTCCAGTGTGTGTTTACTTGATGGAAAGTAAAAGGATGCAAACTTCTGCAAAATCCTTTGAAGCAAAGTCCTTTGTTTTTCTTTCGAGATTTTTATAGCATACCTGCTACTAATTCTTGATTCTTGTCATGGATTTCTAACTTTTAAGCTCCTTTCAGGATCTACTAAAAAATTACTAGAGAATCGGCCCTCCCCATGAATTGCTGTATCATAACTCAATAGCAGCAGATGATGAACCCAAGTGTTTCTACAAATTATTTGTTGGGGTTGCCTGCTTACTAATGTAAAACTTAAATTATTTGCCATGCAATTCCTATTCAAGGATATTATTTATTGATTTTGTAATACAAATTATTTGTTGGGGTTGCCTGTTTGCTAATGTAAACTTTAAATTATTTGCCATACAATTCCAATTCAAGGATATTATTTATTGATTTTGTAATGCAAATTATTTGATGGGGTTGGCTGTTTACTAATGTAAAAACTTAAATTACTTACCATGCAATTCCAAGGATATTATTTATTGATTTTGTATTTAAATGGCTGCCTCCTCAAACTTTGGCGGCACCCAGTTCACTGATTCAAATTGACTGTCAGTTTTGTAATGGTCTTGAAGGAATTGCATTAGAGATCTTCTATAGGGAACAAGAAAAACTTATCTATAGGAAGGCATATGGGAATTGGTAACTTTCTTATTTGTTTGTCAGTTTTGTAACGGTGGAATTCCATTCGAGATCTTTTATAGGGAAAAAGAAAAACTTATAGGAAGCATATGGGAATGGTGGAATTTCATTCAAGATCTTCTATAGAGAAGAAGAAAAACTTATAGGAAGCATATGGGAATTGGTAAGTAACTTGCTTATTTGGTAACTTTCTTATTTGTTTGTCGGTTTTGTAATGGTCTTGAAGGAATTGCATTGGAGATCTACTATAGGGAAGAAGAAAAACTTATCAATAAGAAGCATATGGGAATTCGTAACTTTCTTGAAGAAAAACTTATCTAAAGGATGCATGTGGGAATTGGTAACTTTTCTTATTTGTTTGCGGCCTCGTATATTGTATTCCTGGTATATGGGAAGCATATGGGAATTGGTAACTGTCTTATTTGTTTGCGGCCCCTTATGTCGCATGCCTTGTATATCAATATCAAAGAAGTAATGAGGGATGTGGCCTGTAACAAAGAAGTAATGAGGGATGTGGGCTCGTATTATGTAGGGATGCAGCCTCGCATATTGTATATCAAAGAAGTAATGAGGGATGAGGGAAGGATGATGAATAGATTCATCTCACTTGCCAAAAGATAAAATTCAAAGAGGCAGATTCTCACTATTGTTTACGATTCAATCAAAATGAAAAGAGAGCTTTAAGCTGAAATCATGTTTGCTACTTTCTAGCAAAAGAATCAGGTGGCCTTATTGGCGGCTACTATTTTGAAATGTGAATGACAGAAAGAAAGAGAAGGGGAGAGTTTGATTTTATAGCGTGAAAATAAATGGGTTGAATTTGAAGCCAACCCCGCGTCGAGTTGAGGGGGAATAGTACGGGGGAACTTTAGACAGAGGTTTTAGGGAGTCAAGTAGACCCACAATAAAAAGGAGGGAACAAGAAAGTGGAGGCACAAAGGGCTTCCATCTCCAATCCCACTATCACCGAAGGGAGTCAATGGGGGGACTCAAGCAAGATGTAAAGAAAAGAAATTCTCCTTGTTCATTCTCGATATTAAAACTTAATGTGTAACAAAACAAAGGATAGTGTACAATGAATGAGAGGGACATCTATTGATTTGATTTTATTTATTACGTGTAAAATCTTGGCTAGTGTATAGTATCAAATTACATGCTGAGCAAGGGATGACTCTGAACTTTTATATAAAAGATTATTTACTTCCCCTGAAAATAAACCGATTGCTGATACTCGTGCATTCATTTGGGTGACAAATGTTAGTTAAGTACAGATGGTTACCTGCTCAGAAACAGATTTTTCTTTTGAAGTGGCCCACAGACGAGATTTTTAATACTTCTTTAACAAAACTTGTCGCCTCAACGTGATATTTTCATTATTCATATAAGAAAAATGGACTGTTTCGGGAGTAGGAAGTTTCCTATTCGTCTTCTTCCCATTGAAAATTTAAAGGAGGCGGAGGTCATGTGCAAGGGGCACCCGTACCAAAGCAATACTAAAGAAATCAAATGACTCAGTGGAATACAACTACTAATAAAATTAAAACAAAAAAAAATTCACTGCTTCCATAAAATGAAATCCAAACCAATCTCACATGCCGCCCGCCCAAAACTAAAACCAAAACCCAAGAGTAAACAATTTATATATAGGAAAAATATAAATCTCAAATGGTCCCCTCAAAATCCGGGTATAATTTCCAAAATATTAAAATCGTCAGCTGACCACCATCTAACATATACTAGTATCGATGGAGCACGGCGAAATCAGAAGAAGAGGACAAGTAAACCACTCAAGAGAGCAGTAACACCACCAATGCTCAAAGAAGCAGCAGAGTTGGGAGGTGACTGAGGAGAACCAGCAGTGACGTCAGAGGGGGGAGAGGTGGTGGGGGCTCCAGACGGGGTGGGCCTTGGCAACACAGGGGATTCAGGGGCCCCTGAAGAAGGTGCAGGGGCCTTCGGTGAAGGAGAAGCTTTTGGAGAAGAAGAAGGAGTACCAACTGGGGAAGGGGATGATCGGGGCGATGGAGAAGTAGTGGCAGAAACAACATTGACAGCGACCTTCTGTCCACTAATGCAGTGCTGGCCGAAGCTGCAGAGGTAGTAGTGAGTGCCGGTCTTGCTCAGCTCAACAGTGGCCGGGCCAGTGGAGTAGGCCTGGATGGGACTATTGGCGGTGCAGGCATCATATTCTGACTTGGAAACCTCTAGTGCATTGTGAGCTCCAGTCGAGAAGTTGAACACTGCACCCAAAAACACAGAAGAGAGAAAGAAGAGATCAGGACCTCCATTTCCATGAGGAAGCCAAAAATCACAGCACATAGACAGCAGACAAAAAAGGAAAAACTAAAAAGGGATAAATGATGACATAACAAATGGGAGAAAAGCAGACAAAAAAGGAAAAACTAAAAAGGGATAAATGATGACATAACAAATGGGAGAAAAAGATGAATGATGATGTTGTGAAAAAGCGGAAGTAACAGAAATTCAGTAGTGGGCATATTCCTGAAATATTGGAAGGGCTTAAATATGTAGTGGAGATGAATAAGCAAGAGTCTAAAACAGAGGAAACTAAGCTAATATATAAAAGTAAGAGACAACATCCAAGGATAAAGAAACACTCCGATCTCTGATCTCTCGTATCCTTCCAACATTAAAAGACCTCTGCAGATAAATCACTCTAAAGATAAAAGGAAAATAGATCACAATAACACAAAACATAAAAAATCAAGATGAAAATCATAGATTTGTGCATGCGGAAGACGGTACTTAAACTTAGAAGAAAAGGAGGACCAGGAGTTGCATCCAATAAAAAATTTGAAAACCTTAAAAGAGTACAAGCGGAAGAAGCACGCAGAAGGAAAATTATGAGATGCCATCTTGCCAAAAGAGGCATTATTACCATCACAAAACCTACTAAACAAACAAAACCTAGAAATAATGGTTTAAGACACCCCCATTTTCATATAAAGACAAAGTATCCTCATATTTAACAAAATCAAGGAACCACCACATGAAAAGAACAGAAAAGACAACACATCATCAACCAAAACAAGTTTAGATAAGTACATTACACATCTCCAAGTAGCAGATCCTAGAAGCCACCAAACAGTAAGTATATATTTGCATGTGGAAGAAGAAGAAGAAGGAGGATAAAACTCACATAGACTGTCGCCCATCTCAAACTTCTGGCCATTGGCCCAAGTGGTATAGAAAGAACTGCTGGGTGGAACTGTCCATCCCGTGCTCCCACCTAAAGTGTGAACAACCGCAGCAGATGCGCCGTGGAGAACAACAGCGGCCATCAAAGCAAAAACTCCAACAAAACTGCTTGCCATATTTTCCTGTGATCCTAGGTCTCCCCGTACTCTTCTTTGCTCTTTGATAAAATAAAGAGGAAAAATAAAGAGAAACAGGAAGGAAGGAGAAGAAGAAGAAGAAAAACCTCTCCAAAGAAAGGAGCTAAAAAAAAAAGTGGGTTTCCTTTCTTTTTTCTTCTTCTTCTTCTTCTTCTTCTTCTTCCTCGGTGGGTGGAGATCGGTTTGAGGAAAAAGGAGAGCAGAGAGGCCTGTATTTATAGATGCCAAACACCCCTCCTTTCTTTCCTATTTTTTCATCTGAAAATCAATTTAGTCTTTTCGACTCCGCGTCTCCATATTGGGTGAGCGGGTTGACACCTTCCTTCCCTTTCATATTACCAATGCCCTGGCGACACGTATTCCGCACTTTCGTACGCTTTCCATGCCAATTCCCACACTCTTATTTAGAATGTTGACCTAAACACATGCATATCTACCTAGCATCGGACGGTCAACATTCGTCCAAGGTGAATGGCCAGACTTTCCCATTACTAACCACAACCTTCCTTCATTTCCCATGAATAAACTAATTCTATATATTTTGCTGTTTTTCTGGAGGTGTTTTCAATTATTTTTGGGAAGACGAATTAATATAAGATTTGGATATACATATAATAATATAAATCCATCCGGAAAAAGATAAGATAGTGTGATAATATATACATAGTAGTCAGGGGGTGAGGTAATGTGTTGATCTTTGTAAAATAGTTGGGTTTTATTTTTTTAATTTAACATACATTTTTTTTGACTAAATTTAAGCTTCTCTCTTTTTTTATAACGAGTAAGAAGCTCGTGTGTTGCACGCAACTTTTGATATGGGTCAAAAATTAAATAAGGGAATGCAATGCGCACCTTCAAATTTTATCAATTTTGTTATAAATTTTTTTTAGTATTGTCTTAAAATCTATTTTCATACCTAATTAGAAACTTTTAAATTTCAAAAATGGTTAAAACCAAGTAGATCTACAAATATATGAAAATCTTAAATATGGACGGTCTAGATAATGGGTTGCAAGACGCACTATTTTTGAGACTCACAAACTTTTTTTTTTTATATTCATACATCTCAATGTCGTGACGATCGATTAGAAGGTCTATTCAACATTTAAACAACATTTCCGATAGATTTTTGAGATGCATATTCTATATTTTAAAGTTACAACCTTATATAAACTTTTCCTAGTAAATAATGCTACATCTTTTCTATAAGATAGACTTTTGCTTTTAAGTTACCAAACATACCATGTAAATAATATCACAAAATTCCTAATAGAACATATTTCTTATATATTTAAGGATTCAATAGAAAACAAAGTAACTGAATATACAAATATTCTATAATATTACACAACTATTAAATAAATAAGAATACATGATATAATGAATCTATATTATATAGGGTTACAATTGAATTAGCAGAAATATTTGAAATACTATATATATATTATTTGTATTTTAATATTATTACAAAGTTAATTGTAGTAAAATATTTATTTATAATTTATATAAAATAATTTTAACTATTTCAAATTATAAATAAAAATTACGATTTTATTAGGCTACACCACTTGTGGTGTATACCATTAAAAGTCCTCAACAGTTTTAGATACTTTTGATTTGTAATACACAATTTTTCAAGTAAAAGCATTTATTGTTATTTAGAAAGGCAAATGGATATTTTTATAAGAAGCTAGTGGCATTTTATTAGTAGTTAAAAAACAATTAATGCCATATCGATGATGTCATTGTCCATTATTGTTAATAAAATATTTTTGTTTTTATTAAAAATTTGTATTTTACTTTTAACTAATTACTTAAAATACCTCTAGACAAAAAGTTACTATACTATAGGATAAAAGTATCCAAGTGTCTAAAAATGTTGAAGACTTATAAAGGTATACACTAACCTAACATAGCGCAGAAAATTATTGCTCTATACAAAATTAGCATACACAAATTTTAGGAAGCAATACTAAATTTGGAATGCACAAATGTTGTTTTGGGTAATTCAGGAATGAACAAACTTTAGGGGACTGCTTGTAGCTCATCAGATTTGCAGATATCTAGTAAATGATATCTCTTATAATATTTATTCATTTGGAATATGTTCTCTTAAAAGGAAACATGACATCTTCATCTAAATTTGAAGCAACTTAGCAAGATAAATATTAAATTCTCCCTCTTTTTTATTTTCGTTTCATCTCATTCTCTCAGGTAATCATCTCTCTCCCCTATATATGAAAAGTTATTTTTCCCCTTAATTTCCACGCAAGTCTCTCTCCCCCTCTTCCTCTCACGTTTCTCTCCCTTAAAAATAGGGATTAGGCATGCTAGGTTTTCTTATTATTTAGAAGTCATATCTATACACTCTAGAGAACGGTCTTTTTTTATTTTTGTGACATGTCTATAGATATAAATAATATTGAATTTTGTTTAAGAGAAAATGATTGTACCTATATCGCATTGAGTCGATTTTTACTGATCTTTACATGTTTCTATTGATTCAATTTATCTATTTTAACTAATTATTTTGAAGTTTGTTGCGGATGTAAAGACCCGAGCAATCGATAATGTTCCCAGCCATGAATATCTGTTTTTGTGTTTTTTTTTACTGTGAAGAGAGAGAGAGAACAGCTAATAATTAAAAGTGGAAATTCACCTTTTTAATGGGAACGGTACGGTACTCAATGAATTGAACTTAGGTTGACCCCCACAAACCAATTGTTATAAGTTGAACCGCTGGATCTTTGCAAAATTCTCCATTTGTCTCCCCCAACGGTTAGCTCAAACGTTCGTTACTCCAACATTCATTGCATTTCGAGAGGAAAAGTACACAATGAGATCATTTACTACAATGAGATCATTTACTTTTGGTATAAGGTGGTCACAATTAACCTTGACTATTGGATGTGAAATTGAGTGGTTGTATTTATTCTTAACCAAACTCAAAATAAACTTTATTCAACTTTACGACTCACCCAGGCTATTAAAATTTATATAAGTAATTGTGACATCTTTGTATTAAAAGTAAATATTTTTATTGCATACAATCCCATTCTCCCATCGGTTTTCCTTCTTTATAAATTTTACATCTGATGGCAATAAGTTTTTGTGACATCTTTGTATTAAAAAATAAATGTTGTTATTGTATACAATCGTATTCTCTTAACAGTTTTCATTCCTTATAATGAAAAGTAAAAACTGAACCATCTTGTATCGATTATCGACAATTTCTATCAACAGAGTCCACCATCCATCAATGAGGGATGGATGAACTGTGTATCTCATATTTATCTTTTTATTTATTAAAAAATGTTAATGCAGTTGTACCATGTAAACCACCACCTTGCAAGCTTCCCTGATTGATTCTACCTACAACAATCGCTCCCCAAACACTTTCAGCGTGATGTGATTTCCAAAGAGCAACTCAGCCCAAAATCAATCAAAAGGTAACGAGTTGGAATCTCATTCTAAAGATACTTGTGGTTTTGGAGTATGCAGCTACAAGAGAACTAGGAACTGAAGAGCGTGCAGCAAATGCGTTCTATTTACTGAACAGGGTATATGGTCGGTTTGTGACAGTTTCGTATTTAATACTGTTAGTTTTGCAACAAATCCAATGAATCTTATGTATATTATTGACACATCTTTTGTGGCAAGTGTTTGAAAAGATGGATCCGTTGGAAGGATCGACCCCCTCAAAAACCAATCTGGGTTGGCAGATCGAGGATTTATCTCAGTGAATCTGCAAATAAAAAAGGAATAAATTCATTTTTTAAAAAAATGTGGGGCTGGTCCTTAATATAAGGTCAGAACTGAACTGTTGCCATCGATTTCTGATCTAGATCAGCTGATCCCAATCCAAATTCACGTTTAAAAAAAAAAAAAACAGCTCGTAGCATAGTGATGAGTGAGCTCGACTTAAGGTAGATTTCCTTCATTAAACTTTTAAAATAGAGAAAAGAAATTGGCATGCCTAGGGATGTTAAGGGCAGTTCTAGAGTCTACTATTCCCATTTGACCCAGCCTCGAACAATAAAAAAGAATTTAAAGGGAGGGTGTGGTGGGTAGGTAGGTATTTTAGGGGTCGGTCGACGCGCAAAGAAGATTAGGTCCTAAATACTTACTCCTTCCTTCCTGCACCGCCCAAAGTCGGAGGACGTTCGTCGACTCCAAAACTAACTCTCTCTCTCTCTCTCTCTCTTTCTTTTCTACGGAAACGTTGTTTTCTTGGTCAAACAAATCCCCCCTCTTCCTCCCATCCCTTTGTAAAAGACACGCCGAGTAACGCCTTCCCCGTCCCTCGCCTCCGCCTTTCCCTTTTCATATTCGTTCATTTATGGTGTTATTAATTATCACTTTTATTATTCAAATATATTCATATAGACTCCTCAATTCCAAGTCAATTTGATTGAATGGGCACGAAATTTCTCAATTTAATGGAAAAATAAAAAGTATTTTGACAATTCCAAGATAGTTTCTACCTAAATTTCAGCCAATGTGTTCCCTTTTTTGAAAGGACAATGCAAACACCATTCTCTCAAAAAAAAAATCGAGAACAATGCAAACCAGATCTTACCATCTACGTTGTTGCGTTTCTTGTTTTTCTGATTTTATTGAAGCTTCATATTTACATTAAATCCCTTCGACGATAAAGAAAAAAACAAACAGACAAACTAAGAGAACTTTGATAAAGAAAAAAAAAAAACAGACAGACAAACTAAGAGAACCATGAGAAGTGCACTTCTAACCAAGGAACATTCATTTTCGCTGTCAATTGTTTTTCCTTTAATCGAAAAATTAATGTATAGAACTGATGTACATTTATGAGTGAGTTTATTACATTTAGAAAATTTAAGTCTATACATGAAACTCCATAAAATGGAAATATATATTATAATATCATTTACATTTATTTTTGATGCAAGAAGATCACAAATATTATTTACCATTGCAAGTTAAATAGGGTGGGTAGTGGATGATATGCACTGATTGCACACAATATCCCAAATAAAATTTCTCACAAATTGTTACACATTTCACTATGCTGGATTTCATATCTAATGGGTAGGAATAATTGTAACCTTGTACGAAACGGCATGGTCATTTTAATTAT